CCCTTCTTGTGGGACTCCTCGATCTTCTGAAAGGGCATCGGGCGCCGCGGGTGAAACGTCCGGTGTTCCCCAGAAGAGCCAAATATAGGAGCAAGCACCCGCCACTGGTTTTCAAGGAATTGGTCTACAGTTTGACTGGACCATTTTGGCGGCAAAGAGAACCTTTTCCCACTGTCCGGGTCGGACCTAAAACCGTGCTCATCCTTGACCAGAGGGAGATTTTTGTCGGTCAAGCCACTGTTGAGAAGTTTGTCCGTATCCAAAGTCTGGTCCAAGAGCACAAGAACCACGAAAAGCCTGCGCGCATCGGAACCCACCACCTTCTCGGCCAAATTCCTCCTTGAGCCGCCCTTTCCCCAGACCTGATGCTTTGGATTCCTGCAGAGCTCCCTGTAGACACCTTCGGTGGTGACCAGATCCTCCAACACATCAATCGGGACATATTGTCGTTGTCCCTGAAGGCTATCGTCACCATACTTCTCACTGATAGCTTTGTACAGGCTTAAGGCACCTGGTTTGGCACCCATGTCGGCAGGTTCCGGGAACCTTTTCAGATGGCGTGTTGTAAAATGTAAAGGATATTTCATAGCCTGAAAAATTGTTAGCATGTTGAGGTGGGTAGTATTAAGCAATAAATGGATTGGAAAGCTACTACCAAAGACTTGTATGTTGAGCACCTTCAGAGTTGTGGCCAGCTAAACCATACAGGCTCTTGTAAGAGGCGACTACGTGAAAGGGGATCCTTAGAAAACCAACGACATATGTAGGCGATACCGAACCCAGGAAGAGTCCCGAGGATTTTAAAGGTAGGGTGTGAGTCAGTGAGTATTACCCTCTCGAAGCCAAACTGGTTCGCGGCAGCGGGGCGCAATTGCACAGCAAAGGCAGCTTTTGAGCCGCAGTCTAGCTCACGGCGCCGGCCAAGGTCTCGACACCACATTGTTTTTCGACGCCTGTATGAAAAGGACGCAACCCTCTCACTTTCGTCAACCGGGATTGGCAGAATGAAGCCAAGAGTATGGCTCTCGATAAGAGGTTGCATATGTACGGGGTGACCAGGTGACTTCGCCTGCGTGTCATCCTGCAGGCTTTGGGGAGCCTGAGCACGCGAGAATTGCGGCGGGGTAGTTTGAGGGGATTGGCCATGCCAATACGTCTCATAGTGGCTGTGATTGCGACTGGCACGCATGGGGTTAAGACCTATCATCACGGTAAGCGACTAAGTATCAGGCGACCAATGGCGGACATAGATACTTGCTTGCAGGTGTAAGAGCTCTACCATATTGGTCAATCGATGGTTCCCACCAACGAAGTAGTTGCATAAAAGGCAGCCTGCGGAATGGTTGCCTTCTTCCAGGCATCGAGAGGGGAGACTGAAGCGACGCCCTCAGATGTTATTGACATTGGTGAGTGCTGGTGGTTTGATCGAGCGCCACAAGCATGGTACCTTGTCCGAAGCCATCTGGGTCGTCATGCTGCAGTCTTCACCCAAAGACAGAGGAACACGTCGACGAAACAACCTCCCCCGAGTCCGCCTCAGAAGATAGCCCGCCCCGGAAGGTAACCATTCGTCGGGCGCGAACGGAAGGGAGCCATCCGACATCGATCCGTCCAAGTGACATAAATCTGGGTAGTCAACCGAGAAGGCACACCTTTCCAGCTAACGTTGCAGAGCTTAGCCGACGAAAGACATCGTCTTTCCGACAATCCACGAACAGCTTCTTCAATCAAATAGCACCAAGAATGACGGCGATCAAATCGCTCAAGCAGCGTATTTCGAGAGAGGTAATAGAAGTCGAGTACGGAAGCACCAGCAAAACGGAGAAATGGATCCCGTGGGCTAGCATCAAGAGCATCATCACGGAAAAGGCCGGTGATGTAACCGGCGAACTGACAGCGGACAAAAGCCTCGCCAAGAGTTTGAACAAGTTTGCCCTTTCGAAGGCACGGCGGCTTCTTGCTCTTCTGGTCTACGTAAAATGCGAGGAGTGGTTCGAGCTGTTCTACCGCAACGACTTCGGCGACGACATGTTCCCCATCGAAATTGTCGGCAAGGGCAGCCAGCGCGCCGTCGAGTCGACGAAAACGGGAAAGAGGGCCGATTTTCTCGAGGAGCAACTCGAGGATCGCGAGATCGATACGATATGCGAATTGTGGCAGTGGATGTTCTTCGTCCCAGTCTTCAGGCCCAACGACAAAACTGCGCGCGTCTTTCATTGGCGATGCCGGCTGCCTTTCATAAAGGAGTACAGAACTTATGATTCAAACTTCAGCTCCGTCACACATCTTGTCATGCATCGCGATCACCTCAAATTTGAACACGATGATCAGATTGTAAGTAAACTTCCGGTGACCCAGCGTGATCCTACCAAAGTCTGCTGAAAGTGCCTTTGCCCGACATGCTAATAGTGTATCAAATGCCAGGGTGCTGTTTTGGACGATGACAGGAATCCTCACGTGGCCGTTAAGAAGCTTCTAGCCCGCGGCACCGCTGAGAAGTTCCAGAAAGTTGTCGAAAACGAGGCATCGGTTCTGGACCGTTTCCAGAATCACAACCACCCGCACTTCATCAGAGCGATTGCGAGGTATACTCAGGAAAACCATCATTACTTCATCTTCCCCTGGGCCCAAGGAGGAAACCTCCGGGAGTTCTGGAAGCACCAGCCCAGCCTGAGCAGTGCATCGCCCAACTTCAGTCCCCACGACTGGGATGTCTACATCAGGTGGTTCTTTGACCAGTTAGTTGGGCTTGCCGATGCCATCGAAACGCTACACTACCCACCCAAAGAGCATGGCATTGGCGTATCATGCCGCCACGGAGACCTGAAACCAGAGAACATCCTCTGCTTCGGTCTGCTTAAGTCGGCTCTGGGGAGAATTCCTAAGGGCGCCAAGCTTGTTATAGCCGATGCTGGACACGCCAAAGTCCACGAAAAGGTCACGGAGCTTCGACAAGACATCACCAATACGCCAACTGGAACGAATACCTACAAACCACCAGAAGTCGTGTATCTATCCAAGGACGCTAGATCAAGACGATACGACATTTGGTCCATCGGTTGTTTGTACCTTGAGTTTCTCATATGGATACTGTACGACAATGAAGGGCTCCGAAAGTTTCGTGTCGACATTGGAGTTAATGAGCCCTTGTTCAGAGAACACCCTGAAATGGCTGTAAAGGACATGGTTCGAAAGTGGATTCAATACATAAAAGAAGACCCCCGATGTTCATCGGCCGGTCCGACAGCACTCGGACGTTTCGTGGAACTCATTGAAAGCAGGCTCCTAGTCGTCAAGATCATAATACACCAAGACTCAAAATCGGAATCCGAGGCAACCGATTATTCAAAGGGATATGCTGAATCGTCTTACGCAGAAGGCAGTGTTCCCCGGCCTTTGGTGACACGCCCAACATTCGAGATCGATGCCAACGAGACGGAGCGGGCCAATGCTCAAGAAATGCTCAAGGAGATGCTCAAGATACGCAAAGCAGCAAACGGCGGCTCGCTCCCGTGGATCAATTGGGATGGTATAGCAAAATCAAGGTCACCTTGGCCCACGGCCAGCCTCGACACTCGCAGCCGAGCGGGTTCTCGCAGGGGAAGTGAAAGCCTGATGCCGCAAGCATGGGTATAGTGTTCTGCCAAGTCATGCCATCCGTCAATGCAGCAAATACTAATTTTGGTAACCAGAAAAAGAACGAGGTCAGTATTTGAAAGCTGTTCAAAGATTCGAATCGTCTTTGTCAAGCCGCTAATATCTCCCAATCTCAAGAATGTAAGACATGTTACCCGCGGATCCGTCCCCCCTTCATTTTATGCCCAGAGTGCAATGACTAACTGATGCAGTATGTACGCCTTGCCTTCCGAATGCTATGGGGTGACTATACTGACCGTGCTGTCATTGTGATAGATGGTATAGCCTCGTTAAGCCTTAAAGTCGAAAACAAGCCTACTAATAGGTCGGGTGCTAGTTTGTAAGTTCTTTCTTGCCAATCATTCATGCGTGCTGGATATGTTCTGACCATAGTCTCTTGATTGTAGACCGTAAGTTCACCAAACCCTCCGTGCCCAAGGATTCTCCCATCACATTCATTCTGCAACCTATTGGGTCGAGATCTGACTTATGGAAAGCCGGTAAGCTCGTTCCAAGAACAGACAGCTGGGTATCCAGCCAATGCATGTTTCTCTGTTACTGACCATTGTAATGCAAAATCTAGCTGGACAATAATTGGGAATATACCACAGACGAACAATGTGCTCGTCTGATCGTACCGAGAAGTAAAGAGATCAACGGCACAAGTGCCGACTCTTCGTTATGTCAGAGATGTCACGCGTTGGGAATATGGTCGGAAAGCTGCGAGTTCACCGACTCACTCGCGAACTTGGACACTAGACGACATTCTTGCGACTTATGCCAGCTACTATATCTATCTCTGTTGAGAAGGGCAGCTCGAAGCAAAGAGGTTGTCAAGTTTCTCAGGTCTGGTTCATCTCTGACATTTGGAGAAAAACACTGGAACCCAATCTTTTCCCTTTGCACTACCGAAGGTGAGTGCTTAATCTAGTTTCAGAAGATTTGTGCGGTTAGGTGGCAACACCTGGTGGCCAATTCATATACCTTGATCTGCCTTTTCGTCCCGTTTGGCTGATTGATGTAACCCACCAGACTCTGATTCTTTGAGATCAAACAATATCCAGCTTGGTTTCCCTTCTCAATTGGATCCAGGAAGCAAGACACATGCCGATATTATGTTGGAATGGATCAAGACATGCGACGATAGCCATCCGTCACCAGCCGATGAGCCGTTTATACCGACTCGGCTCCTTGCGGTTGGGAACGAACAAAGCAGTCGAGTTCAACTGATATGTAGCCAGCAATACGAAATTCCGAAGACGGAAAAATATGTAGCTCTGTCGCATCGCTGGGGTTCTCCAGACCAGATACAGCCATCTGATGTCAGATTTGTATCTACGACCAAAGAAAACATCAGCAAGATCATGAATGGCGGAGTGGACGATGCAGACTTGCCCAAGACGTTCAGAGATGCCGTAACCATGACGAGAAAGCTCAAAGTTCACTACCTGTGGATCGATTCTCTGTGCATCATGCAGAAGTCAGGCCAGGGCGAGGACGAAGAAGCAAAGGCAGACTGGGAACGGGAGGCGAAACTCATGGAGAAGGTCTTCAGCTCGGCATATCTCACCATTGCAGCGAGCTGCGCCGAGCACAAGTTCCATGGGTTTCTCCAGCCGCGGGTACAGCGGCATGCCGTCACAATGAGGGCCGATGACGGGGCGCGGTTCCATGTCTGTGAAGTCATTGACAACTTTGACCTCGATGTTGAGCAAGGCGAACTGAACAAGAGGGCCTGGGTCTTGCAAGAACGTGCACTTTCGCGCCGGACGATACACTTTACACGCACCCAAGCATACTGGGAATGCGGCGAGGGCATTCGCTGCGAGACCTTTACCAAGACTGAAAAGTAAGTGCGGTTTCGACAACCATCGTATATCAGTTGGCCACGCAGTCCTCTGACCCGAGTTGCAGCCGAAAAGCGTCTTTTCTTGGCGACTCAAACTTTCCTTATTCGGTGAAATCCCATAAGCAGGGCCGGCAACTCCAGCATTACCAAGGCCTTTACGAGCGCTACTCAACACTGGGTCTGTCGTATGATACTGATAGACCGATGGCTATCGCCGGCCTTGAGAAAAGGCTGATGAGTGCCCTCGAGTCCGCCGGCGGTTTCGGCGTTCTCCAGGCCAATTTCCATCGGGACCTGCTGTGGCAGCGCCGAAACTCCGAGAGCACTCTGAAGAGGATCGACTTCGAAACGGCAAGCCACATCAGGATTCCATCGTGGTCCTGGATGGCCCACAGCGGAGAGATTCGATACATGAACGTTCCGTTCGACGACATCCTGCGCGCGGACGACATCCAGTCACCTTTCGAAACGCTTCCGCCAGGGTCGTCGTACGTGGATTCCAACCCGCGGGGCCGAGCCGAGCTCCGGGCTCCTGTACACACTATTGCAGTGCAGAAACCCGATTGGCTCATCTTGGACGAACCGGAACGGCAGCTGCCCGGGCCTCTCCGCTGCGTCATTGTGGGAAAGAGCAAACATCACAAGACCGAGCAGCCGACATGCTACGTGCTGGTTGTGTCTCCCGCCGGCAAGGAAGGGGACGAAGACTTCTTCGAGAGGGTTGGCGTTGCGTACCTTAAAGCAGAGGAAATCGTGTGTCGGGAGGCTATGGTTGCCAGTATCCGGTAACCAATCATGTACTGCCTGGAGCGGGACTGGCAGCTACTCCAGAAGTATATGTCACTTGCATTATGTGCATAATCGAATAGTATCAGTCTTGCCTGACTTAACTTTTCACATCTCACAGAGTGACGTACAACCGGAAGCGATTACTGTTAAACACACTCAACTAGGTGTTTGTGATGACTTGTGTTACGTTGACCTTGGCTGGGCTTCTTCGGAAGACCAACACCATCAATCTAACAAAACCCCTTTGAGGGTAGACTGGGTATTATAAGGGTATTTTTCCTAGGTTGAATGGGTGACGAGTAGTTGAGGTGGTATGGCTATTTTTGATGATTCCTGATTTTCTCATATATTGATATATTGCTCCGTTGCGCTGTTTCAGGTTTTGTTTTCTTAAGGCGAAGTCTCTCGTTGCTGGAGAGGGCTTCGAGGATGAAAAAGTAGATTCTTGTGAATCTCTTGATGGCTGGTTGTAGTGAGAACGGAAGAAGAAGATGGGTTGCGCTGTGGATAAGAGCAGGAGATACAGGGAAGGTTGGAAAATGGAAGTTTGGAGACCGGATTTAACATGTGGTGACAGATGGATGCAAAAGAGGGATAAGAGAGGGGATGATATGTCGAAAGGTTGGCCAAAGTAAAGGGGAAGGAATATTGAAATCAGTTAGTTGTAAACATACAAATCAAAATGTTTTACTAGTGTATTTAAATCACTTCAATGTCCTGATTACGAAGGTAATTTGTAAGAATCAGTACATTGTGTCGTCACGCCCAGAGACCCTGTAAAGACGTAACTATTACGAAAGGGTCACAGTGGGTGCACATTAGTGCCTAGTTCTACATTATCATTTAACTTCCGACCTTATGGACGAACTAAGGAGTACTTAGATGGTGCTCTGAGGGTCCTTTTCGACAACAGCAGAAGACTCCCGGCCTTTTGCGCTTTCCACTCCCCGGCTCTCCAAATCAGAGTCTACCCCTATGAGAGTAGTCTCAAATCCTGTGACGACAGAAGGAATGAGGGTCTCCTTATGGGGAAAGAAATAGTTCAATGTGTAGTATACGAAGATGGAAAGAAAGAAGCCATACAACCAGTTGAAGCTGAAGAGGTTGTCCAGACCGCTGGCCAGATTGACAGACGGGGCCACCTTTGCTACGAGACCGGGCAGCAAAGGGATGATCACGACGAAAGTCGCGGTTGCTGCGCGCCAATTGGTGCCATATTTGCCGTAACGGTAGATCCCCTGCGGATCGAAGAGTGCAGGCACGTCGTACCGTCGTCGCTTGACTAGCCAGTAATCCGTAAACAGGATACCGGCCATGGGCGCCATGAAGATCGAGTAGGCCGACATGAAGTTCATGAATGCGCGGCCCGACGCCACGATGATCCAGGGGCACAAAGCCCAGCCCCCGAGGAAGGCGACGAACACGGTGCCTCGGCGGTTGTTGAACCACTTGGGCGCGAGCGTCGTGATATCGTTGGCGAAGGACACGGCGTTCGCGCTGATGTTGACGCTGATCTGCGCGAGGAGCCAGACGGCGGCGCAGATGAAGGCCGCGGCGCGGCCGCCGGGGGTGTTCTGCCAAGTGGCCATGATCTCGAGCGGCGTCCAGTAGGGGACGCCCCAGATCTCCTGCGCGGCCGCAGCCGAGATGACGCCGAACAGAGCCACGATTGTCTTGAAAAATGGGATGACCGGCAACTGCCAGTATTGAGCGCGGCTGTCCTTGCTAAAGCGGGAAAAGTCGGGAATGTTCACGGCGAGGGTGCTGTATCCTCCGGTCACGCTGGTCTAAAGGCCATTAGAGTCTGCTGGCATCTCTTGATGAAAAGGGAATGGCGCCGGGTCGGGACCACGTACCAAGCTAGAAAGCCAAAGCCAAGCTCGTTCGGAACCATGAACCTGGGATGGCGCATGAAAGAAATCTCCTTGGCCGCCGGCCCGGACGGCAACCCATATAACCTTGTGTGACCACCGTTAGCAATTGGCTTGGAATTACACGGGGAGAACGATCGTACCGTTCCTATTGCTATAGGTAGTGTAGCAATGGTTTTCACCCAAAACACATATTGCAGTTTGTGCGTGGGAACAAGTAGGAGCGGAAATTGAATGAGCCAATATATGAAATACGAGATCATCCCGGCCGTCGTCAAGCCTGCCGAAGCTGGTAAATGGTTCGGAACGTTTTGGAAACTGGGCCAGATAGATGTAATCATCTAGATACATTCGATCAGTATCGCGGTAGATTCAATCTCATAAGCCACAGACCCGGCAGTAGCAAAAGACTTACAGCTGTAACGCATGTTGCGCCGTTTGCGGTCTGCACCCCGAACCAAAACATGGCCAGAACGCCTCTGGAGACCACTGCAAAATAACTAAACCAGTAGCCGAAGCTGGCTCGCGAGGCAATGGGAAACGCAATATGGAGATTTGAACCGATTGCCCCGTTGAGAACTGTAGGGATGGCGTTGCACAAGCTGGCCAGCAGGACGATGAGGATCGCATCTGTTGGAGTCAAGCCTAAGCGCCACGCTTGTTAGAGTTGAGCTCAAACAGGGGATATAATAGGCACTGACCTGCTGCCACGATTGCCGAGCCCGTGGACCAAGTGCTTATGGTGACAAGATCGGAAAACCAATATGTAATGAAGGCCCCCTTTCCCCATGTCCGTCTTTCAACTGGCACCGGGTCCATGTCGGAATTTGTCCATACATCAGACGGCGCGCTGCTGCTGGGTTGCTTGGGCAGCTGCCAACTCCGGGCCTGCGTGAGTCTAAGCATGGTTTTCTCTCTCACGTAGCGAGCTCGCGCTCGCAGACTGATTTGTTCGACCATTCCGATAATCCGCTCCCAGAACTCGTTCAAGGTCAACGAGCTGGTCAAGACAGAGATGATGAGTTGTGATTCGGACGTGACAGTACGAAATCACCAACAGGCAGGGTGAGTTTCTGAAAGCCAAGCTCACACGGGCACAAGGTCATTATCACGATATAGATCTTGTCTTCACCATGACTACTTGACCCATGTCTACTTGAGCACAGCAGGCTAGATCATGTTCTGGGAGCATTGGCCCACGAGGAGGCGGATTTTCAGCAGCCGGTTCTTATCTTGTCAGCGATACATGCGGCAGTTGTGGAGTTTTGGGGTCTTGCATTAGATTCGACCAACGGCATCGAAAGGAATCAAGAGATAAGGCGCGTTCCCCGCATCAACGCCGGATCTACACGTCGAGTGATCCCGTCCTCGGCCGGGACTCTATCGTAGTGCAAGGGGTCCTTGTGGAGTAACTCGACCAAACAAATCAGCGGCGTGTATTACGCAGCGACGAGCTCCTACTTAAATGTAACCAGCCGATTGGTGGTTATCGTGACGCGCTGTGTCGCTCCCTGTCCGACTGTCGGTTCTTGCATTTCGGATCAGTACTATTCGCCTCTGCAAGATAAGATGGCTAGCCTGGTAACACGATCTGATAGGGCTCCAACTCCCCCTTCCTCTTATCTCTCAAGAACCAGGGTGTTCATGCAAACAACCACCCCGGCCGAGGGTATCCGAGTACTCTCCGAACCTCGGCCAGGTCCATGAACTTTCGAATGCTGGAGAAGGGCAGTTCTGTATGAAACATCATGGCATCGACCCTGACGAGCCGTAGCAGACTAGCCTGCGCACCATGTACACGCCGAAAGGTCAAGTGCAGCAAAACAGTGCCTTGCACAAACTGTCTAAGGAGGTAAATGCTTGCCCAAACTCTTGCCCGGACCACAAATTGACCGAGATCCAGAGGAGAAGAACAATCATGCACTTCTGATGCAGTCGATAATCCGCGCCTCACTTCCCCAACATCGGCGAGACCGTCTACAACACAGCCACGTCGCTCAACATCGTCTTCGAGCTCTAGGGCTAGTATTGAAGAGATCGCTTATCTTCGTCGCAAGGTTTCTGAACTCGAAAACGAAGCACGAGTCGTTTCTTTGAGCAGTCTGAGGAATCATGGAAGTCCAAGTGGGTATGCTAGGCCCGGCCCGCAAACTGCCTTATGCGAATTCGATACCGTGCAAGACAATCCGAGGTTGAGCCAACCATTGCTGTCGCAAATGGCTTCAACTGAGACTGCCCCAGAGAGGGCTGAAGTTGATGATCGATCCATGAAAGATGCTGCTTCTATTCTTGAGTTCCTGGCCTGGGGTCGCAGGAAAGACCCCGAGTATCATCCAACGGTGTCACCTGAAGCAACGGCCATTTTTGCTCCAGGCTCCGAAGGGCCCAGGATCCCCGAAGGCGAAAGAGACACAGTCCTGGATCTCACTGAATGTTCCCAGCTAGCAGTTGTCCAGCTTCTGCTGCCAGACTCGCGGCAGGTGTGGGACTTGGTTCAGTATCATAACGAGAGCCTCTTGTGGTACCATAACTCGATTTTCGCACCGACATTCCGGACTCAGCTTGCCGCATTTTACTCGGAGCATAACGGCATAATCGAGAGCGAAGGAGTTGATCTCCAATGGGTCTCGCTTCTCTTCTCTGTCTTGACTGTAAGCTTGGTGTGTGCGCCATCACGACGAGCGCATGCCTGGGGCTTTCGGGACAGCGAGCGCGAAACCCTCTCTAGGCGCTGGTTCGAAGCAATGGTCGTGTGTTTGAACCGCGCGGATTATACGACAAACCTAAGCATTTTATCGTGCCAAGCCATCGCAACTGCTACGATATCAGCCCATCCTTTGGGTCACAGCAACTCCCAGAGCATACACCTCGCGGCGGCTGTCCGCATCGCACAATCGCTTGGCTTGCATAGACTGAAGCACGATGTTGGTGAAAGCAGTGTGGAAAAAGAAACAGGAAGGCGTGTTTGGTGCCAGCTTTGCAGCCAAGATTGGTTCGGCATCCCTTTCTCAGAGAGCTATCTCATCAGTCCTCTCTATTCGACATCTGAGCCTCCTCAGAACTGCCACGATCATGACCTTTTACCCCTGCCAAAAGATGTTCCGACGATAACGAGCTACTGTTGTTTTCTCTTGGAGATTGCCGAAATCATGCCTAAACTACAAGATGGGCTGATGACCAACAACACGGCATATACCCGCTATAAACAAGTACTGACTTGGGACGCTCGTCTTCGCACACTTGCCACAGTGGAACGTCCAGCTTTCCTTACAAACACCCCTATCGAGGCGGACTGGCCTATATGGGTTCCCTGGGCCCGGCGAACTTTGGCCATAAGCTCCAGTCACAAGATTATCATGATTCACCGCTCGTTTCTGTCTGACAGCTTCACGAATCCCGCATTCGCGTTTACCAGGTTGACCTGCATCGCGGCATCCAAAACCATAATCAAGGAATACAAGGTTGTATCCCAGGAGGATGGGCCTATTCTTTGGGTACATCAAGCATTTGCGGTAGCCGCTTCCATCATCCTTTTGCTGGACGTGCTACATCGGGCACCAGGGGAGGCAGAGCACGTTGAACATCGACAGCTGGCCGAGAGCGTCATCGGCATTCTGAAGTCATATGGCAACAGCACCATTGCCGCGAGGGGAATCAAACTGCTCCAAGCCCTGATCGTAGAAGTTTCTAATGCCACGAGCTTGAGGCCGATGCCACTGCAGAACAGAAAGCGCCCGAGGGAAGACAATGGTCCTTGTACGACAAGGGGAAAACATACAGTGAAGTTTGATGTGCACAGCTTCGTCAAGAGATTTTGCGAAGCCAGCACGGGCGACCAATATCGGGAGTCTGAGAACGACCGTGCAACGCCTAGACCCCGAGAGCATCCTGTTGAAGCTGCTGTGTCGAACACAGCTCCAGCCCGCCACGGAGAGAGTCATAGTCATGGATCGAACATGCCGGATCCAGGCCGAGCTGACGCCACATTCTCTTTCCCTTTCGGTGGCTTGGATAGTGGAAACAACTTTGAGAACCTCCTGTATCTAGCAAACTATGATTGCTTTCATTGAAATGGGAACATGTATGCGCTTGCCTTCAATGTGTTTACGTGATATGTGCGGCCATCGTCTACGTCTATACTCCAAATCAATCGATCCATTCGAACAGGAGAAGATTCAAATTCAAAACAAAGGTCTTTTTTAACAATATGCAAAATACTTTTCGTAGCATTCGATCTATGGGGAGCTCTCAATTCTCGCAAAAAGTTGTACCAAAGCTTCTCCGACACCTTCTGGGTCTTCCAATGCTTGCTGATGCCCACTCTTCACAGTCACCACCCAGCTTTCACCACCCATCAACTTGCTGAGTTCATTAGATCGATCCGTTGGACTGATCATGTCTTTATCGCCGGCAACCAAGACTGTCGGGCATTTGATATTACTGTAGTCGGGATCGGTGTGGCAGTCATCGACCAATGCTGAACATGTCTGAGCGTATCCCTCAGGGTCGGAGGCAGCGACGGCTTTTCGTACGCTCTCTCTTGCAGATGGACTTGCGGATCGTTCCGGACGATCTGCATAGAAGTTCGACTCAGCGGCAGCATTAGCTGCAAAGTCTATGCCCAAATTCCTCACATCGCTTGCAAGTTGTAGCATGCGCTGCTTCACAGCAGGAATGTGACCAGCAGCTCGTCCGGCCCCCAGGAGAGCAAGGCCAGCAGCTGCGTCAGGATGCTTGGCAGCGTAATGAAGGGCAATTATGGCGCCAAAGGAGTGCCCGATGAAAATGATCTTTTCAGGGTTTGACGTGCCGGCGCTCTCTTTGATCGACGAGATGAGACAGTGGATGTCCAAGACTGTGCTGGCAACAGTGATCGGCTTTGACGCGTTGCCCAGGACTGACTTGCCGAATCCCGGAAAATCAACGAGGACGATATTGAACGATTTTGGCAACGCTGGGAGTAAAGGGAGGAATGTTTCGGTTGATCCACCAAGACCATGAAGGCAAACTAGGAGGCCACCCGAGATTGAACCGGACTGAAGAAAATGTATCGTGTGCCCAGAAGGAGCTGTTAAATAAGAGGAGGTAGTCATTCTGGCCGTCTTGCTGAGTTGAACGTACAAGCGCTATGGGCGAACGTAGGTACTAGAGAAAGTTGTGTCCGAGATAAAAAGCTTTGTGTACTGACAAGAATTCTTTAAAGCTTCAAACGTAATTCGATCTGTTCCCGTTCCAGGACCGCTCGGCTAGGGACAGTCGATGTCTACAAGCGTTGTAACCCAGTCCTCGGCCGAGGTGGATGGAGCCTTACAGCTCCGGACCCGAACGTAGACCGAATGATAGACGCTCCCGGAGCAGCCTATTTTCTCACCATCACTTTAACGTGTCCATTAGAAGACATTAATCATTTAAACATAATGATACTAGGTGAAGCCTCACATGTGATCGTCTGTTGTCGGAAAACCTTCGTTGTCTTCTATATCAGAGAGAGATTTCCGCTTTATCAAAACGAAATCTTTACTACTATTGTTGAAAGTTTGAACAACAGCAAAACCGAGCATCAACCTTTCCAGCTGGGCATAATGGTCATCGCTTCAGTTGTTGCCACAGAAGAAGCTACGGACTTCCATCTTTCGATGGGAAAAGGCCACTTTCAGCTTCCCCATGCTGAGAAAACAGCAGGACGGGTGGTTCCGATTCAACACCCCGAAAGCAGCAGTGTCGATTTTGGGGCCGAAGTTTACGGAATTGACTTGAACTCTTTCACCGATGCCGACTTTGAACTGATCTCCACTGCGCTGCATACGCACAAGTTGCTCGTCTTCAAAGAACAGCCGCAGATGCTTACACCTCAACAGCAATACAGACTAACCTCGAGGTAGGGTCGCTTCTCCACATGAGAGTCTGATATTGGATACTAAAAGCTTGCCTAGCTTCGACCCTGACGAAACGACTGGTGGTTTTGCTCATGGAAAAGATCCCTTGTTGACGACCCACAACGGTATTGACATCTACGGCATTCCCAAACGCCCAGCGATTCCCGCACAACCACAAGTACACATTCTCGGCCGCGGACCGTTGCCTGACAACCATTATGGCTTTCCTCCTGGGTTCGAGGTTCAGGGCGTTGATCATGAGGAGTTTCATCTCCCACCTCATATCCCGGCCGTGGATCGAGAGAAAGGCGCTTCCCGTTTCTATCAATGGCACTTCGACGGCGCATTATACGCGATCCCTCCACCACGAGTAGGCTGCTTGCTGGCCGTTAAAACACCCAAGGGACCCGATGTCACTGTGAGGTGGGATGATGGTAGCGGTACAGAGATGAAGATGGCACCCGGGTCGACCGCTATGGTGGCCGGAAGTAGGGCTTTGGCTTTGCTTGATGAGGAAACCCGGAACATTGTTATGAACAGCCGTATTGAATATGCCCCTCATGCATTTACCTGGATGGCCGGAGCCCACAGCACACGTCTAGGACACCTTCTGGAAACAGAAGGATTGGAGAAGCCCCTGGACCAGTTGCATCGTTGGGAAAGGAGCAAGATTTGCGTGTATCCTATGGTGTGGACCAATCCCAGGACCGGAGAGAAGTCGTTGCAAGTACATGGCCAAGGGGCTTTGAAGCTCTACTTGAAAACTGAGCCGAATGGTCAGGAGACAGTAGTGGACGATTTGAAGGAGGTCAGGGCTTTCATGGACAAGTAAGTACATGGGCTATGGTTACAGGTCCTGAGACTAAAAGGAAACAGGATAATGAAACCGGTACTGCAACCGGAAAACATTTACGCCCATCCCCACCAGGAACAGGACGTGATCCTGTGGTACAACCGAGCTTTGTGGCATAGCATTGTCAGTTAGCATCAATGGAGAGTGCTAGGTATTTGCTAACTATTGAATAGACAGAGTTCCCCAAGGCCAATGGGCCTCGAGTGATGCACCAGTGCAATATTGCCGCCAGTGATCACCCTTCAGGGTAAAGCCTTGGGTCAGTCACGAAACGGTGCCGTAATCCTCATCTTGTTGCGTTAGGCAAAGAATGTAGTTGTGTATTTGAATTGTGTTTGGCATATTTCTTGCAGTTGTTTGAAGCGATCTGATCTCGACTATCTACGTTTTACCATAAACAGCTAGGTGACCAGCAGTATTCTTGCTGGCCCATTATTACACTTCTGCACTTGACCACTAAAATCCGTTTCAATACTTATTGCAGCGTCAAACTTAGACCTGCACTGTAGAGTATCACGATTCTGATAGTTCTAATTAAAGAATCAATTCGACTCAAAGATAAGAATTCAGACCGCAATGCCGAAGAGTCTCCGGGAGGGCGAAAACAAGAAAAAGCAGAGCTGAGAATCAACCGGTCTGAATGAACAGCGGTCATTCCAGAACTTCCTGGGTCCCCGTGTGAACGGATACTGGCTATCGCCATAATTACTCAAACAGCTGTTCGTTCCGTGCCATATAGCCTTATCCGAACCCACACATGTGAATGGGTGGCAAAAGATAAGACCACTGGCCATCGAGATAGGATGCCATGCTGCACGTTATCAAGTTCATAGACCCTGATTGAGTGTGGGCCACAAGGCGAAGCAGGCCACCCACCCTCAAGATAAGCTCGGCCGAGCTCGCGGGGTATTACTACAGAGCTTGGCCCATAAGCTGTAGCCCTGCTCATAATTAGTCGCCGACTGTCCGAACATCATCTTTCTCCCTTCAACGCACCGAAGTGACAGCATTCCATCGCCGAATTTCATTGCTTCGGAGGCAGCTGATTGTAACTTTCCTTCAGACCAGACACGAAACACTTGTGGCCATTTCGCTGCCATGTCAGAGAAGACGAAGTACGCTGAGCGGGAAATCCCCGAGGTATGCTATGACTACTTGTCAACTGTCCAGTTTCCGCGCCCAACATATGCTGACATCCGTATTACTCAGATTTCCCTTCAAGATTTCGAAGCTCGAGTCGATGAGATTACCTCCCAGCTTTGTAGCGCTGCCGAGAATGTCGGATTCTTCGCCATCAAGGACCATGGGATTACCGAGGCGGAAGTAGACGAGATGTTTTCGTTGTCCGAGTCCTTCTTCCGACTCTCGGACGAAACCAAAGCGACCGTGCCATGGACTCCGCAGAATGTCGGCTGGGAAAAGATGTCACAGGTCAGACCGTCCACCGGCCAGCCGGACACAAAGGAGTCCTACCAACTCCAGTTCGGCGAACACATGGAAGGAAAGTGGATGGGCGATGAAAACCTACCTGGATTCAAGAGCCGGTCTTTGGCTTTCATGCAGCGCGTGCAGAGCGTTTCTGAAAAGCTCATGCTCTGCTTGGCCCGCGGTCTTGGCTTCCAGGACGACTACTTCATCAAGTATCATGACGCTAGCCGCCCAGACTCCCAGTCCTGTCTCCGTCTCTTACACTACTACGAGACTCCCAAGGTCAACGACGGCAAGATATATCATCGAGCGGGAGCGCACGCAGATTGGGGCTTTTTGACGCTCCTTTTTCAGAGGGGCGAGCAGTCCGGCTTGGAGATTTGCCCTGGTCGAGAGGTCGTGACCGAGCACGCTCTGGGGGATACATGGACGAAAGTGGAGTTCAAACCAGGTGTCATTGTGTGCAACATTGGCGATCTTCTGATGAGCTGGAGCGACGACCGATTCAAGAGCACATATCATCGGGTCAAGGCGCCATGCGAAGAAGGTGATTATTATGGAGAGCGATTCAGCATGGCCTTCTTCAACCAGGCATGCAAGGATGCAATCATTCAGGGGCCGAAGCAAAAGTATCCCGTGGTAACGGGGGAGGAATTCAATAGAAACGCGATGAACCGGATGTACGCGGCTTTGCAAGCAAAGATGGCCGCAGGAGAGGAGCCGAATGGCCAACAGATGAAGCTGGAGACGCCATTGATCAAGTCTCAAGGATAGCAACTGTTTCAACTGTTCCTTCAATTCTGCCTTTCGTTCGTCTTTTTGTCGTGCCTGATCAATCAAATGCCTTCTTCGGCCCTAATCACAGGTGTTTTGCAAGAAACACGATGGACTGCCATGGACAACCCGTTTCAGTAACTTTTGTTACACCCTAGGGTGTCATCGTTAGCGAATGAAGTTTTGTCAAGGACATACTTTTGCTCTAAACTGATCAAGAACCACTCCGTACATTGCAGTTGAGGTCGACTACAGGTCTTCCAAGCTTGCAAATGGTCACATTTGGCCATCTTTCAGTTGTTATCAGCGCTGCAACCACTACTTCCGCTGGTGCCGAGGGAAGTGAGCACATTGGCTGCAGGTATCGGCCGAGCACAAATGTACCCATTGCTGAGACCCAAGAACCTCGGCCGAGGCTACCGGCACGTAACCATCCCATTCCAGTGAGGTCGTCATGCATTTGGCTCAACGCAACGTGCGAAAGTCTGTGTGAGATATCGAACCTGTGTGCAGATAACAAGGATGGTGCCTAGTATGTTTAAATAGTGTGATTGCAGGCAAGAAGACTCTCCTACGGTTGCACCAGATCCATCAATAATAACATCCGCTTTACACCAAAACCATACCGACCGCCCTAATACATACCGAATTTTCGTGAACACTTGTATTTTACAATGTCTCCTGGCGTGCTCGCTATGGAGCCTAACTTCACAATCACTCCAGTGGCGAAGACGGCTGAGGAGAAATACAACTTTGGTGCCATTATTGAGGATGTGAACCTCGATGATATCAGTGGTAAGCCTCCTGTGCGTGCGAATTGATAGCACCTAGCTGATCGATGTCCCTAGATTCGGGCGTTCAAGCACTATCAGATGCCATTTGGACGCACAAGGTCATTATCGTCAAGGGCCAGAAGCACATACACCCAAGCAAGCAGTGGGAGCTTGTTACCCGTTTCGACCCAGAAGCGCCATTGGTGCACTCCCATGGCGACCTGGCAACCTTCAACGCGAAGGGTGGTCTTTTGTCGGTATGCTGGCCACCAATCTCTTGACTAGATTTTCATATCTGACCAGCTTGACGAAGAAAAGCCGCGATGTGGCAGCGATTCCAGGGGTTGAAAATGTCCGACTCATCGGTAAAGGGTACCAAGGGGAAAACCACTATGGCCTGCTCAACAAGACCATCAAGAAGCCGCTCTCGCACGACTGGCACGATAAGGAACTCCCGGACGACGAGTTTGCCTCCGGCCATACCCGCTTCCAGCGGTGGCATATCGACGCGCCGCTGTATGGGCGCGACCCAGCGTGGTTCACGACGCTGCGCTGCATCAAACGTCCCACGTCGCCCGATGTCACGATTCATTGGGACGACGGAAGCGGATATACCATGAAATCGGAGCCCGGACTGACTGCCTTTATAAGCTGCACTCAGATGTACGACCTCATGACCGAGGAGGAAAAGCAAATAGCGGACCACTCGTGGATAGAGTATGCGCCTCACCCCTACATGTGGATGGGCAAATGCAGAGCCAATGCCAATGGTCTCGGCGTGGTCAGCCAAGGGAAGGAGTTGACGCTCGAGGAGCTGGGTGCTTATGAAGAGGCTTCTATCAAGAGGTATCCAATGGTCTGGGTGAACCCGGTCACGGGCGAAAAGGCCTTCATGGTGCATGGGATATGCGCTCGGAGGATGTTTATGCGGTCGAACGCGGACGAGAAGCCTGAAGTCGTTGATGACGTTGTTCGGATCCGGGAGTGGCTCCGACCAATCCAAGAACGGGTGCTCAAGCCCGAGTACATCATGTTACCGAAGGTCGAGGAGGGAGACATCGTCATGTGGGCGAACTATCAGATGTTCCACACAGCGGTGGACTATCCCGATCACTTTGGACCGCGGACGATGCACCAGGCAAACATTGGGGCGAGTTCAGGGCCCGTGGGTCCGGTTTCTCTGCCGTTAGTTGTATGAGAGAGACGTGGTCGACTGTTGGTAAAGCGAGAGATCAAAGATACTGGGTATGGCGGGACAGTGCTACGTTGAGTAAGCTGGCGAGATATGAGAATCTCAGCATAGCTATATCTATCTCACTGGATAGTTACTCAATCACTTTGACAAGGAATGCTTGTTGAAAATTATCAAAGTGCCAAAACTGCCGAGTGTTTACAGCCCCGTTGTTTTGATGTCACATATCACAAAGTTGTTTCACCAACTTTACTCTGTTGCCAGTTCAGATTCGGCTCTGTTTCCGCATTCAACTCGGTGCAAGAATCTGCCGTATACCATAGATCCGCAGTCACATGCAGAGTGAAGCGACACAGACAGTGACCTACTATGACGGCGATTCATTCGAACGGGGAACTCAAAATCGAACACGGCCGGGGCACCGTCTGGGGCCATTGTCTTTAGGAACGTACTGATATCGTCAATGCATCATACTCTTCAATTCCTCGCAGAGGTATGGAAAAAACCAAAAGAAGAACGCTCTTGAATGCCAAGGACTGCGCAGCCTCTTAAAAGAGAACGCCAGTGTCACCGGAAACAAATTACCGTTGGACGAGGCATAATTATATTTTGCCGGCTATTGTGAACTTTAAAACTTCTACTCTGTAGTCCCATGTCGTCAGGACTATTCCTACTCGGTAGATGGCCCATTCTAATGCCATTCTAATCATTCTAATGGAGCGAAATTTTCGGCGCCCGCTGATCACATCCACGCCGTTCAGCCAGACCTACCACGAGTGGCCTGCCATAACTAGATCGAAATGAGCAGATCTTCGAGCGCGCTACCGGCTGGTGCTCTGTATTGGTCCGTCCGGTCCACCAGCCCAAGCAAATGTAACGTCGGAGCAGCACGCTGGATGGGTTTTCTTGGGCATCGCCAGAGCGGGAGGGTAAACTAACCCGGTTGTGCGGGGGTTGCCATGCACTCTGGGGTTCCCCTCGTACTAGGGTACTGAATACTGATTCAACGAGAACCCCGTAGGGTTGGTTGCGCGGGAGGTTCCCCTCGTACGCCGAAGAAGGGCCTGTCGGCTCTTGTTTCTGACATGGAAACCTGTCATGGATGACGGGGGAGTCGACGGTAACTTTCCGCGATGACCAAACAAGCTTTGTGGCTTCTCAAGCAACCAGACACAGCTTTTTGTTTCTCACACATCACATCACTCGAGATTGGATTTAAGCTGCCGGGCCGCCGTTCACCGACCGGAACAAGTAGAAGTCGGGCATACGAATTGCGTTGACTCGTGATCGAAACCACTTCCAGGATGGACTCGGCCTTGGACACGAAGGGCTCTCACGCCCCGGACCGCAGCGACATCGAGTCGCCCGCGGTGAAAGAGGTGCGTGTGTTCATCTCATGAGAAGACGCGCGGGGTTCAGTCAGACGCGATATTAGGTCTAACAACATTTTGCGCCCAGTATTCCTCGCCCGTCTCGCCGCCCCCGAGCGACGTCCCCAGCGACGCCGAAGAGGAAAAGGCCCTCCTCTGGAAGCAGGACAAACGCATCATCCCGCTGTCGGCGGGCATCTACTTCCTCTGCTTCCTCGACCGCTCCAACATCGGCAACGCAAAGATCCTCAACTCGTCGACGGGCCACGACATGCAGACGGAGACGCACATGTCGAACCACGACTTCACCATCGCCCTCATGGTCTTCCTGATCGCCTACGCCGTCTTCGAGGTGCCGTCCAACGTCCTCCTCAAGAAGCTCCGCCCCTCGCGCTGGCTCTCCTTTCTCATGTTCTCCTGGGGCGCCGTCACGATCGGTCTCGGCGGGGCCACCAACGGCGCGGCCGTCACGGGCGTGCGGTTCCTGCTGGGCGTCTTCGAGGCCGGGCTGTTCCCCGGGCTGGTCTACTACCTCACCTTCTTCTACAAGCACGACGAGAGGAGCGTGCGGGTCGCCCTGATCCTGGCGAGCGCGACGCTGGCGGGCGCCTTCGGCGGCGCCATCGCGTACGGGATCGGACACATGGACCAGGTGCACGGCATATCTGGCTGGCGCTGGTTGTTCATTCTGGAGGGCATCCCGTCTTGCCTGTCGGCCATCCTCGTGTGGGCTTACCTGCCAGACTACCCCGAGACCGCGGGCTGGCTGTCGGAGAGGGAGAAGGACCTTGCGCGGCAGAGGCTGTACTACGAAGGCAGCAAGAGCAGCGACAAGAGCATGTCGTGGGAGGAGGCCAAGACGACGTTGACGGACTGGAGGCTGTACGGACACTACGCCGTGTACTTTGCCATGTCGACGCCGTTCTCGTCTCTGTCGTACTTCACACCGTCCATCACGGCAGGGTTAGGCTTTTTCGACTTACAAGCGCAGCTCATGACCGTCCCCCCATACGCAGCAGCGTACGGTAAGCACTTGTTTTTTTTTTCTTTTTCTTTTTCTTTCTCCTTTTCAAAATATGCCTCCCCCCCTTTTGTCCACCGAAAAGGTGCTGATAGCCTCCCCAGTCGTGCAGATCCTCGTCGCGTGGTCCGCCGACCGCTTCAACGCGCGCGGCGCGCACTCGGCGGCGCTCGCCCTCATTGGCGCGATCGGCTTCCTTGTCTCAGCTGTGCTGCCACCCGACGCCTACCACGCGCGGTACGGGTGTCTGATCGTCGGGGCATCGGGGGCGTTCGCGTGCATTCCGCCGCTGTTGGGCTGGCTGAGCTCCAACGTGTTCAGCACGGGCGCGACGGGGCTCGCGATCGCGCTCAACGTCAGCTTCGGCGGCGGGCTCGGGCAGATACCGGGCGTCTGGACCTACAAGGCCGAGGAGAAGACGAAGGGGTACCCGACCGGCCACTGGGTGAACGCGGCGCTGCTTTTCGTGGTCGTCGTCGGGTGCACCGGGCTGAGGATATACTACGGGGTGAAGAACCGTCAGATCCTGAGGCGGGCGGCGGAGGACGGGACGCAGCCGAGGCTGTACAAGTTGTGAGATGTCGGCGTTGTCGCTGCGACGGACGTTCCAGTGCATTCTCACGCGTGGTCAAAAGGGCCACGGAGTTCCGAGAGCGTACGCATATCTATTGCTAAGCCATCTTTTGACTGGTCATCACACCTACATATTGCTCGAAAAACCAACTATTTGGCCGTTCTGTGAGGTGTGGGAGGGGTTGAACTGCAGCACATCGAGGCGTCTTGACTTGGCCGTGTCTCTCAACCGCCATCCCCGCAACCAAGCGGTTCCGGCATGTATGTAATGGCGTTGTGGCAGAGTGGTCTAATGCGCAAGACTAGAAATCTTGTTCCTTCGGGAGCGTCTGTTCGAATCAGGCCAACGTCGACCGTATATATCTTTTTTTGGGTTCACCGCGCATACGATTCACCATCTGGAGGGGCATATATGCCGGCAACAAGCCACAATGGTAATCGTGCAACCTTAAACAGCGTGCGTACGGAGTAGTCTCGTAAGCACACAGGGTTTCTCGGAAGGGCGGTGTTCCGTGACGGGATTGGTGTCTCCAAATCAGACGAGCTGCCGAATCCTACGTACCTAGTATTATATTACTCGGCTCTAGGGGTCTCATTCCCCGTCTGAGACGGGTCAAATGCAGGGATGGTCCTCAACCGCGAGACGCCCAGATGACTAGTGTAGCTACACTAGTCTAGCTCGTGCAGTAGGCCTGCCAAGGCGGCGGCGCCGGGGCTGAAGTCTAATGGAGTCTGGAGAGAGTCAGTTCGTCAGCCCATGTCGTTTTCCTGATCTCCACACCGTCCCCTAAACCTCGTCGAGTCCCGTTCACTTTCCCGTCTTGTTTTTCCAGACGGGCTTGTAGTGTACCATCCCGTTGATGGGAAGAATCAAGGGCCAATCAATACTGGTTTGGTTGTGACCCCCCCCAGTTGAGACCTCAACGAACGCACCAGCAAGGCTTAAAATTGAAGGGAGGTGAAAAGTTTAGGCCCCCAAAAAGCCATACCGGTACTTACTCGCGACGACTGCAAAGGCCCCGCGGGAGAGCGGGAAAAGACACCCTCGGACGACGCCAGACAGACGACAGACACCATGCCCGCCTTCACGGCCCTCGGCGGCGGCTGTATGAGCCGGCGCGCCCGCTTCGTTGCCGTCGCCCTCTTCTTCGTCATCTCCATGCTGTTTCTCAGGAACTCGCGACTCGGCAGCGTCGGCGGGTACCTGGACCCCGCCCAGGCAGCTCGGCCGCCACAAGCCGGCGATGTTGGCAAGCAGTCACATCGGCAGGACAAGGACCAGGATCTGCCCGCCGCAAACGGCGAGCCCGACGCCGCGGCCGACCAGCTGAAGGCCGACGCGGAGGGCGAGGACTCGTACCGCGACAAGGACGAGGAGCTCGGCAAGCCCGGCGACCCGGCGCCCGCGACGCCGCCGCCCGCAGACTGCGTGCCATTCGAGGAGTGGATGCGGAGGCGGCCCGGGCCGGCGTCCGAGGGCAGGCGTAAGTTCCCCTCCGTCCGGCCGCCGCCGGAATGTCGCACCTTCCGCCTGCCCGCCATGGAGAAGCTCATGACGCGGATGAAGGCGGTCATCAAGGACCCGGACATGTACCGGCTGTTCGAGAACGCGTACCCCATGACGCTGGACAGCATGGTCAAGTGGCGCGGCTTCGCGAGCGAGACGGACGAGGAGACGGGCGAGACGAGGGTCACCGACCAGGAGCTCACCTATGTCATCACGGGCGACATCGACGCGCTGTGGCTGAGAGACAGCGCCGAGCAGATCAGCCCCTACCTGCCCCTCCTCGAGGCGTCCCGCGACAAGGACTCCCTCGCGAGCCTCTGGCGCGGCCTCATCAACGCGCACTCGCGCTACATCATCATCTCGCCGTACTGCCACAGCTTCCAGCCGCCGCCGGAGAGCGGCATCCCGCCGACGCACAACGGCGCCTACGTGCACAACAAACCGATGCCGCCCTACGACCCGCAGAAGGTGTTCGACTGCAAGTGGGAGCTGGACTCGCTCGCCTCGTTCCTCAAGATGTCCGTGTCGTACGCCGAGAAGACGGGCGACTGGCAGTTCTTCTCCAAGTACGGCTGGGTCGACGCCGTCGAGGCCGCCGTCGACGCCGCGGGCGCCATGCGGCTGGGCACCTACTCGGCCGAGGGCAAGGTGCAGAGCTCGGCCTGGACGTTCACCGGGTGGACGAACCGCGGCAGCGAGACGCTCACCAACGACGGCCTCGGCAACCCGAGCAAGGAGAACGGCATGATCCGCACGGCGTTCCGGCCGTCGGACGACGCGTGCATCTACCAGTTCCTCGTGCCGGCCAACATGATGTGGGCCAAGTACCTCGAGTCGGCGTCCGAGATCATGGCCCGGCTCGACGGCGACAAGGCGCGCGAGCTGACGGGCAAGATGCGCGCGCAGGCGCTCGGCATCCGCCGCGGCATCGACAAGGACGCCATCGTGCACAAGCCCGGGTTCGGCGACATCTTCGCCTACGAGGTGGACGGCTACGGCAGCGCGAACCTGATGGACGACGCCAACGTGCCCTCGCTGCTCGCCATGCCGCTGTGGAACTTCACCCGGTCGAGCTTCCGACTGCCCGACCCGCCCGCGGGCGCCGAGCCGCGCGACTACGCCGAGGTGTACCGCAACACGCGCAGGTACGTCCTCAGCGACGCCAACTCGTACTACATGAAGGGCCCCGTCATCTCGGCCGTCGGCGGGCCGCACGTCGGCCCCGGCAAGGCGTGGCCGATGGCGGCGGTCATCGCGGCCATCACGGCGTACGACCCCATCTCCGGGGTCGAGGACGTCGAGAAGGAAGTCGCCGAGCAGCTGCGGATGGTGCTCGACTCGACCGCGGGCACGGGCGTCCTGCACGAGAGCGTCAACAGCTGGAACGAGAACGACTGGACGCGAGCCTGGTTCGGCTGGGCCAACGGCCTGTTCGGCGAGCTGATTCTGCGGATCGAGGACGAGGAGAAGAGGACGAAGGGCGGCGGCGCCGGCGGGCTTTTGGGGAAGAGCTGGCAGGATCCGCCTGCGTCGAGCTAAGTGACGCCGGCACCGGCGGAACTAGCAGCAGACATATGATTGTCATACCGGCGTTGTTGTTTATTAGATGTATTATCAGATGAGACGAGTTTGCTGTACTAGGTAGAGAGTATATGGCCAGTTGGGAGCGCAACACATTGTGCAAGATTTCAACTTTGGGCATCGAAAAATTGATGATATCGCTTTATAAAAAGTTCGTATAAGAAGAGTCCATTCGATTATGCTGTGGTGTTTAGGGGGGGATGCTTGACAAAAATGACAAAAACATCGACGTTGGCCTGATTCGAACAGACGCTCCCGAAGGAACAAGATTTCTAGTCTTGCGCATTAGACCACTCTGCCACAACGCCCATTGATAGTTGACGAAACATTTGAGCACTATATAGTGATACTCAGTACCCCTTCGTACGAGTTTCCCCCTTGCTCTATCTAGGTCTCTCAAACTGTCTTACACTCTCATACTTGTTGCAATCATCTCTATTTCTTACATCCCCTCACCTGTCCTGGTCCTCTGAACACCCTTCTGCTCTGTAAGTGATTGATCAGCACAGTACTTACTCATCAGTCAGTCTAGTAACCTCATCAAGATGCCCGACTCAGGAACAAACTGAATGTGAGCGATTGACTTGAGTCGCCTGGTATAAGTCTCTTATACGAGATAAATCCTTCATACCGTCAATAACACCTGCGTCACTTCATGTCTCTTCTCATTTACATCTACCTACTCATATCTCCACCCAGCTGACCAAACGCACCCATCCCACCCATCGCAACAGACGACGACCAGGTTTGTTCGCCCGGGCTCACATCCTCCCAAAGCTGCTCACCCCCCGGCATGTCGCCATGGTACCCCAGCAGGTCCCAGGCCATGTTCGCGTCCCAGTCCGGCATCTGCAACGACGCGAGAAAGTCCTCGTGCATCTCCCCTTGGCCGACGACCCCTTCATGGCTCCCTCCTCGCCTGTGATCCTTCAGCTCTCCCACCTCCGCCTGCGCCGCCACCATCTTGGACCACCTCGCCTGCCTGAGCTGCGCGATCTTCACCTTGGTCGCCCCGAGGCTCCAGATGTTGCCCCGCCACTCGCCGTCGTCGACCGACATCGCCCGGTACGCGGCGTCGACGGCCTGCAGCTGCGCGACGACCCGGTCGAGATAGCCGTCCACGTCGAGCATCAGGCCCGGCTGCGTCGCAAGCTGCGCCTTCAGCGCCGCCAGCGCGCGCGGGAGGTCCTCGTCCGGCAGCGTCGTCTGCCACGGCGAGGTCCCCTTGGGCGCGGCCGACGGGCTTGCCGGGCTCGCGCGCGGGCTGGGGTTGATGGCCGCCTCGATCGCCGCGAGGGCGATGTTGGGGTTGTCCCGGGACGGATCAATGGGCTCCGCCTGCAAGAGGGTCGAGGCGACGTTCTCCCTGGATGCCAACCAGGCCCAGCGGCTCAGCATCATGACGCCGTAGACCATATGCGACACCATCGGAAGCGTCATGCCGCAGAACGAATCAGTAGGCGTGGAAAGCCAGGTTTCGAACCACGCCTTCAGAGCGGCGTTGGATTGGTAGAATGCATCCAGAGCGCTTGCGGAGCCGCTCCCCATGGAGCCCAAGGACTTTGACAGCGAGACAAGCAGCTCAGCGTCGATGTTGGGTGGTTCATGAATGCGAAGGCGCGCAGTGGCTATCCGGATCTTGAGGTGAACTGTGGGCATGGTCAGTCCATCGGGTCTGAGTATTCGGAAGTCGGACTTGCCATTGCTACGCAAGCCTGGGGGCATCTCAGCTTGGAGCTTGTTGAGCTCGGCACTGAATCCCATCATGTGAGCCGAGACGGGAGCTCGAACGACCATGTCAGCTTCTTCTTCGTCGTAGTCTCTGGACCTCAAATCTGCCACCCTCTCGCAGAGGCGTTGGATTCTGACGATGCAGATGAGGTGCATGTCTGAGTCGTATTCCTGGGTTTCTTGGAGCTCCCTGATGCACTGCTGCATGTATCTCGAGTACTTCAGTGGGTCGATCGAGTGGATGTCCAGGGCGATACTGCAGCTAATTAGGTCATGTTGGAACACTACTTGATGATGAGGGGGCGTCTACTCACGAAGAGCTGAGATACCACACAGCTAGCAACGCGCGCCTTTCCTCGTTCGTTCGTTCTCTCATCTCCCAGGGCCGCAGAACCAACAGTCTGGTTCGCTCGGGCAAACAGGGTTTGTTCTTCAGACCCAACTCGCCCACGAGACACGCGGCCAGCGAGACAAGCTGGTGGAGCTGTGCGTGGGCGATACAGTGGTGGTGGAACCAGGCCACAATGACCACCAGACCGAGCAGAAGGTCGAAAGACCGCTCAGCACGTAGGACCATGTAGTCGGCAATGTAGTTCAGCAGACGGTACGTCTGGCCACGCATCGATTTCATGCTCCGGAACGACGAGACCATGCGGATGGCAGCCATGAGGAAGGGCCTCGTCGCGCCGAGGGTGGCGGCAGACACGCCCTCGGGCACCAGCACGAACGGAAACTGCGGCGCCATGACCGTACGGTAGACCTTTAACAGGTTCTCATCCGTATCGGGCGGCGGCGGCGCTTCCCCCGGCTCGGGCTTGCAGATGCATGTTGGCGGCACAAAGGCGTTGTAAGACGCGGGGATCCCGACAGGACCTACGTCGGCAAGCTCGATTGCCCTGCTTAGCGAAACGCCGTTTTGCGCATGAAGGTCTGGTCCTGGATGATCAGGAGGCAGTGCTGAGTAGGTACCATCGGAGACCAGAGGCGTCGGTTCTGCACAGGAGTCCGTCAGGGCGGTCTCGGCGTGAGGCGCCAGGGCGGGGGTGCCGTCTGATACCCGAAGTAAGTTGACGAGGCGGTCCAGCCGCTCTTCCAGCCTGCTTGTCTTCCTGCGGAAGCGGATGTTAGGGACACACAGATGCCGGCTTTGGGACATAGTGAGTCGGACTAGCACTCCCCGAGACGCTTGGCGCTCAACACTAGACACGCTCCATGGGAAATGCCATATCTCGGGGACGATCCATGGACCTTGGATGGCCGCACGAAAAAGAGATGGTCTACTTACGAAGGCCGGCTTTGCCTCTTCTGCCTCGGTTTGCGTATCTGGCTCACGCACTTCTTGGACAGGCGCTCGCACCTAACGACAAACACAGGGTTTCGGGTTAGACAAATCCTCTAAAACTGCAAGATGTATCGTAGAATCCGACGCGCCCTCTCTCCAATTCGTTGGGTTAAGGTGGCCCCGGCAGTTGACAGACAGATGGGAATGCAGCCGGCGATGACGTCCGCACGTTCAGCCCGGGTTGCAGGGTCCGGGGATCTCATTGAATCTCCGTCCTTTGGCAGCCGGGAACAGCAGAACAGGGGAGCGGACGTCGATGATGAACCGATATATGGCTTCGACGCACCTATCACACTTGGACCCCTGTGTCTCATTCGTTCGGAGGCATTTGGTCTTCGCCGCGGCGCACTGGGCACAAGCGGCGCCCCAAGTCGCAGTGGGTGCGGCCCGCCGCCGTTCCGGCTGGGGGCTGCTTGGCGATAGGGACGGTGACGCCGAGAACGAGGCGGTGGAAGCCATATTCCCTACAGGGCGTTATGCAAAGCGGTCTCTCGGGGAGGAAGATGTATCTGCTTCTCCGGGTATTGCGGGGTTTTCCGTTATGGCGCACGGCGGACCAGAGGCGGCGATTCGGAGATTCAACAAAGAAGAGGCAGCCAGCCCCGGGGTCGCCGGGAAGATAAATGATGAGAGGTCGGGTTTCTCGCGAGGAGCATCAAGTTGGACCTCCTATCTCCCGCTCGCCATATCTCCGACCCGATGTCAGTTGCTTTTCAACGCCTTTGCAGAAGTCCCCTCATGAAGTGTACGGTAGGGTTGTGCAGAGAGGGGGAGAGGTCACCCTGAATCCTGTCAGCCCGCATGGAATCAGCCTACATAGAGCCAGCACATGGCTAATCAGCCTTATGCGCACCACGCCAGCAGACGGCGCTGCAGGGGACGGGCTTTTTTCGGGATTGACTGTTCGAAGCTTTATCGTATGCTTCCTGCTATACACCCAGAAACGGGCGTCAATGGTGGGATCTTGCCTGGCACGACGCATAATATGATGCGTTGAGGGGGCCCAAACTTCAGTTGATGAAAACTTAACCGCAATTGTTATACCTGGCGAGCGGCGACGCCCGACATGAATGGCGATTGGGAGACAGACTTTAACGAGGTTCTCCAAGTATATATATAGTTAGGTGGCTGGCCGTGTTATTCCCCTTTCACTCAGTTATATTCATCTCTTGGTCGAGCGCCGGGAGAGTCTCACGCGCACGACTTTATTGCTCGTGGTCGAGCATATACGTAAATACCAATCAGAGCATGCAAAGAGCGCCGATCTGAATGCAGTTAGCATCCTCGCTACCTTAGCTTTGGCCTCTGGCTGCACCACTCCCTTATCGGATGTCCGTAACATCTACTCGGCTATAAGAGTGATGGGTGACTTTTGTCGGATTCATTGATACTTGGGGACATTTAGTTCTACATTTATTAACAACACAAATCGATATTACCATAGGCGCTGGCGTCCGTGGCTAGGCACTGTAGTGAGACTGATACAGCTTGGCTCTACTATCACCAATAACTACCTCGACAAGGTGGCAACGCGGTCATGACTGGGACCGAACACCCGGCGGATAGAGGCAGGTCCTGGACAGAAGTCGCCGCCGCAAAACGAGCGGTTCGAGATGCGCAACTCCGAAAACATGGGTCGACGAACGAGGTCTCGGTCTCGTCCTCGGCCAGACTGGGCGCTGACGCGGTCGACATCGAAACCTTGATGGACCTCCTGCGATCGGGACAAGTCTCGGCCGAGGAACTGATTCGTGCCTACATTGGACGGTGAGCACGCGAGTCCGGAGCGCACGCGCGAAAGTCCCTGAGCTGATCCGCCGGACAGGGCCTGCGAGGCGCAGAGAAAGGTAACCGACCGGAGTCACAACCGTGATCAGTGGCAACGTGCACATCTAACAGGAAGGGGGAACGAACAGACGAATTGCCTGACAGAAACGTGCTTCGACGACGCCATCAGGCGAGCTCGGGAGCTCGACGAGTTCCGGCAGACGCATGGCCGCTTGATAGGTCCTCTGCACGGCGTACCCATATCGGTGAAGGACCAGGTCGACGTCAAAGGACTAGCCTCGACATTGGGCTACGTCGCCAACGCCTTCACTCGGGCGAAAGAAGACGCACCGCTGGTGCATACACTGAAGCAGCTCGGAGCAATCATAATCACCAAGACAAATGTTCCACAGAGTATCATGGTGAAGCCCCCCCCCCCCCTCCCTCCTCCCTTGCAGAGTCGTCGTCACGTACTAACTGACGTCTCCGGTGGTGCGAAACCAACAATCCGCTCTGGGGCCTGACCACGCACCCGGCCAACCCGAATCTCACCCCCGGGGGCTCCTCGGGCGGAGAGGCAGCTTTGCTTGCCCTCGGCGGCTCGTTGATCGGTTGGGGAACGGACATTGGAGGCTCGATCCGCATACCGAGCCACATGAATGGGCTGTGGGGCTTGAAACCCAGTGTAAGTCGGCACACGGCGGTCACGTCTGCCACGACGACGCGCTGACAGGTCCGTTCATCGCAGAGCAGACGCTTGTCGTACCGGGGCGTGGTGAACTCCATGGAGGGCCAGCAGTACGTGCCGTCGGCCATCGGCCCCATGGCGAGGTCCTTGAGCTCCCTCACCGCCGTGACCAAGCTGGTGATCGAAGCCGCGCCCTCGACGACAGACCCCCAGGTCCCGCCGCTCCCTTGGAGAGACGACATATTCCGAGAGTCGTCCTCGAGGCCGCTCGTCATCGGCACGATGCTGGACGACGGCGTGGTCAAGGTACACCCGCCTATCGAGCGGGTGTTCCGTGAGCTTGTCGCAAAACTGCAGGCTGCCGGCCATGAACTTATGGAGTGGGACGCGAGCTTGAACGAGGAATGCATTGAAATCCTGGTGAGACGTGCCCCCCCCTCGTCTGATTCACTTGCACACTCTTATCCAGAAAAGCTAACCTCACGGGCTCAGCACGAATGCTATTCGGCCGATGGGGGCGAGGACATCCGGAACGCCGTCGCCGAGGGCGGCGAGCCGTTCATGTCGGGAGTCCAAGAGTTCGTCGACCTGGGCCCCGCGATCCCGGTCTACCAATACTGGCAGCTCAACAAGAGGAAGGTCGCCATCCAGCAGTCCTACCACGACATGTGGGACGGCGCCAGGTCGCCGTCCGGACGGCCGGTCGACGTGTTGCTGGTTCCTACCATGCCGCACACGGCCGTGCCCCACGGATCGTGCCGCTGGCTCGGGTACACGAAGCTGTTCAACCTTCTCGACTACACGGCCTTGGCCTTCCCAGCCGGCAAGGCCAGCCGGGTTCTGGACGGGAGCCCCCCTCCGCACCACACCCCACGCAACGCCCACGACGCTTGGAACTGGGGCCTCTATGACCCTGTGGCAATGGACGGCCTCCCTGTCGGGTTGCAGCTTGTCGGGCGCCGGTTCGAGGAGGAGAAGGTACTAGGGGCGGCTCAACAGATCCGACGGCTGTTGTAAGCCCATCTGGGGATGAAATGCTGCTGCTTCTTCATGCGAGGCACCATCCTCATGTCTTAGTATTTCTATTTCGCTTTATTACCCACGTAATAGTACGTACTTGGAAAATTTCACAAGCTTCTCTAGCGGCTCAGTTCAAAGTTCATCATCTCTAGCAAAGCGGTAGCCCCCCCTTCTTCCCATCAGTGCTGCTTCCTAGCCCACCCCTTCTCCTCGTCCTTGCTCCTCTCCCTGTGCCCCGTCAGCGCCGCGAGCCTCTTCCGCACGCCATTCCTCTCGGTGGCAGCAGCAGTAGCAGCCGCCGTGCTCCCCGCCGGCTGCTGCGAGAGGCTCGACCGCCCCTGCCGGCTCAGCTGCGTCGACGCGCCGAACGACGACGGCGGCGCAGACCTGCCGTGGCGCCTCCGGGTCGAAAGCTTCTCCAGTCCCCAGACGGCGAAGAAGTCCGTGGTCCGCCACCATAGCTGCGTGGCCTTCCCCTGCGTGACGAACTCGTAGATCTGCAGCGAGAGCGCGATGAGCAGCCCGGTCGCCACCAGGCTGAGGACTATAAGGTTGCGCGTCAGTCTTTAGCTCTGGAATATATGTAACTGCGGTGGACAGAAAAAGAAGATAAAAAAGGAAGAGGGCCTACAGCATGCGAGGAGGAGGATCCCGCCAGTGGTTGGCTGTGCCAGTCCGACGACTTCGATTTGGAAGATACCTGGAGGCGCTTGTCAGCATCTCACGCTTTCGGTCTTTTTTTTTCTTCTCCGCGGATATTTTCACAACAACTCACCAGTAGCCCAGGACAATGGCGCCTGTGGATATGACCGTTAGCGGGATCCAGTCGCGAAGATAAGTAAGGGAGGGCACTCACAAAGACGACAGTCGCCCCCGTGAAGATGAAGAGAATCTTGGACTGCTCGCTCGCAGAGAGCGCCTCTTCAATGTTGGCCTCTCTCTGTCTCAGGTCCAGCAACGTGGTGATCTGACAAGCCCTTATCATCAGCGAAAATGCATCTCACCACATGAAAATCTCCCTCGGCGTGACGGGTTGGGAACCCTCAGGGTATGCAAGGGATGGGATTATCACGGGGCTCAAAGGAAAAAGAAAGAAAGAAAGAAAAAAAACCCACCGAGTCCCGCACCCGGTTCGCGTCCTCCTCCAGCCTCTTGAAAAAGTCGAGCGTCGGGTGCTTGTACGCCTTGGCCGGCGCGTCCGGCGGCGTCTCCGCCTCGCGGAACTCGTCGAGCACGCGCTCCTGCGACCGCAGCACCCGCTTGATCATGTTGATCTCCTCTCGCACGTCGTCAATCTCCTGCAGCAGCTCGATCTCGGCGCGCAGGTCGTCGAGCACCGTCTTGGTCGTGCCCATCTTGCTGATGGTGGCCTTGAAGTCGGCGTAGCGCTTCATCGCCTCATTGGACTTTCCCCCCCCCAACCACATACGTCAGTCCGTGTTTTACGTCTTCTCACTGACCCCCTTATGTCCTGTGAATCTCCCGGGAAGCATTGGGACGGAGTGAGGGGAGGCGGACGACGACTCACAATGTTGGCAATGGACGCCGCGAACACGCTGCAGTAGCTCCGCGGCCCCTCGAACTGGAAATGGAACTCCTCCTCGCTGTACCCGGCCGCGCTCTCGACGATGCTCTCGACGATGCGCATCATGTCCACGTCGCCCGACCGGATGTCCCGCATTCCCAGCACCCGGTGCTTGATGCCGTTCAGCAGCGTCTTGGCGTTCTTGTCGTCCCACCGGTCCGGGAACGCGCTGATGACCGTATCTGTGTCAGTCTTCGGTGTCAGTCCTTTCTCTCCAAAAGTCGTCGTCCCAATCCTCCCGGCCCCTTCCAGAGATCTCCCGGATGGATCGTTGTCGGTGACATATGCCTATGTGCTGCGTTTGGGGGGGGGGGGGGACTCACTCTCGTCAATCTTCCAGACCCAGAGCTGCGCAACGACCAGGATCTGCTTCCTTCTCTCCCGGTCCATCCGCCTCTTCTCCCGCGAGATCTTGGCCTGCACGCTGCTCGCCTGGTCCTGCCGCCCCGCCATCCGGCCCAACTCCGCCTTGGTCCCGTCCGTCTTCTTCTGCTTCGAGCTGCTCTGCCGCGACAGCGTCCGTTGCACGTGCCTGTGGAACGGGTCCGCTTGCTGCTGCTGCGGCTGCTGTGTCGTCGTCGTCTCCGTCAGGGCCGCCTGTCGACCGCCCGCCACCGACTCCGTCGCGGTTGTTCCGTCCGCGTCGGGTCTAGCAGCCGCCGCGGCCGCCGCGATGCGGGCCTCAACCCTGCCGAGGTACCGGATCAGCACCTGTGTCTCGTTGCGCAGCGCCAGGTCCGCGGCGTCCAGCGACTCGTGGTACGACTGGTCCAGCGACCGGGGCACGTGGAGCTCCGACTTTGTGAAGCTGGCGCGCAGCTTGGCCATGGCGTCAAAGTGCGCCAGGTGCGGGAACAGGTAGTGCTGGAGGTTCGTTGGCATCGCGCTGAGCGGGTGCCGTCTCTGCGCCGGCGCCGGTGCCAGCGGCCCGCCTCTCCTGTCGTTCCCTGCGCCGTCCCTCTGGGACCCGGCCAATTCGAGCGGCCGCAGCAGCCTGGTCTCGTCACCGATCTGCACGTCCTGCAGGCTCCGCTTGGTGCCCTCGTCGATATCGACGTCTATGACGGGCAGAACGATGGAGAACATCTGCGACTTGGCCGGTGCCGGCAACGTTGCCGCCGGGATGCTCGGCCCTCCTCCTCCGGGTGTCGCCATCGGTCCGCGACCACGGTCCGGCGCGCCTTCATCCACAGCAGCAGCAGCAGCAGCAGCAGCAGCCGCCGCCGCCGCCTCCATCTTGAAATGCGGCTTCCGGTACGGCGCGTTGATGCGGATCTCGAGAAACGTCTCCTCGATGAAGGCGACGATCCGGTCGCGCTCGGCCTCGGTCCGGCGGTCCATCGCGCAGATGCGCTGCACCAGGTCCGTCACCCACGCCACGTTGTTCGCCGGCAGGTGGAACCACCGCTTGACCGGCTTCTCGTCCCGAGCGCCTGCTCTTCCTCCACTTTTCCCCCGCGACGTGTAGGAGCTCTTGCGCCGCTGCTGGTTGACTTGCCTCCGCATCTCCTTCATGTCCAGACCCGCCGGATTGCTGCTGCTGCTGCTGCTGGCGCCGCCGTCCCCGCTCGGCAGCTGCAGCAGCGGCGAGTGCGGCGGCGACGACGACGACGGGGCGCGCGTGGGCGTGCTGCGGACAGGTGACATGCCGGGGGTTCTCGACACCGGGCTCGTCGCCCTCGACCGCGCAGGGGTCCTCGTCGGGCTACCGACAGGACTGCCGACGGGGCTGCCGACGAGGCTCTTGACCGAGCTCTCCACCGCCGGCGTCGGCGGGCGCGGGCTGAGCCTGATCTCCGTCTCCGGGTCGTACAGCATGTCCCAGACGCTCAGGCTCGCGAAGCTGCACTCGCTCGTCGGGCACCAGAACAGGCCTTGGAAGTGGCGGCAGGCGTCGATCTCGGCCTCCTGGTTCGGCCTCGACGGCGGGCGGGCGCGCCTCGGGCGCGGGTCCCACGCCGCGGCGGCGCCCGGCTTGGGCACGACGTGGGGCGGCGCGTCGAACAGGTCGGCGATGGATCGGCGGTTCAGCAGCTTCGCCAGGCTCTGGGGCGTCTCGCCCGTCGACGAGATGACGGTCGGGTCGGCGCCGGCCTCGAGCAGGTCGCGCACCAGGGCCTTGCTCTCGTTCTTGACGGCGTGGTGCAGAGGCGTGCAGTCCTCCGTGTCGCGGAGGTTGACGTCGGCGTCGGCGGCCAGCAGCGAGGCGACGACGGCGGCGTGCTCGAACATGACGGCGGCGTGCAGCGGCGTCTGGTCGTCCATGTCCTGCGGGTCGACGTCGGCGCCCGCGGCGACGAGCACGCGCGCGACGCCGTCGTGGCCCTCGGACGCCGCCTGGTGCAGCGGCGTGCAGTACTCGGCGCTCGCGGTGTCGACGTCGGCTCCGCGCTCGACCAGCGCCCGCACAATGGCCTCGCGCCCGTGCCGCGCCGCCACGCTCAGCGGCGTGAAGTCGTTTGCGTTCTGCGCCTCGATGGACACGAGCCCCGTCTCGAGGAGCATCGCCACGACGCCCTCGTGCCCGCCCCGCGCCGCGTCGTGGAGCGGCGTGTCCCCGACGGCGTCCTTGGTAGCCGGGTTCGCGCCGGCGTCGAGCAGCACGCGGATGGCGGCCTCGCAGCCCCTCCGGCTGGCAATGTGCAGGCTCGTCCCCAGGTCCTGGTTCGGCGCGTCAACGACGGCGCCGTTCTCGATCAGCACGCCCACTATGCCGGCGTGGCCGCTGCGGCTCGCCTCGTGCAGCGGAGTCTCGTGGAAGCTTTCCTCGGCCCTCACGTTGGCGCCGTGGGCGAGCAGCGTCCTGACGACATCCTCGTGGCCGTTGCGCGCGGCGAGGTGGAGTGGCGTGCACTTGTCGACGTCCTGGACGTTGACGTCGCACTCCGGGTTCGTCTCGAGGATGGCGAGAACGATGTTGTTACGACCGAGACGGGCGGCGTGGTGCAGGACTGTGCGCTGGTCCTCGTCGCGCGAGCGGAGTACGGAGGGGAGGGAGGTGATGAGCTGGCGGACGTGGGCTTCTGCCGTCTCGGGGTCGGGTACGCCCGTCGCGATGACCTCGATGAGTTGGCCGTATGCTATTTACGTGTTAATCGCGTCTGGCGATGTATGAGAGTGTGAGAATGAGACCTTACCTTCTCTCATGGGAGAATCCATGGTGTTGATTCAGATTACAGGTGAGTCCAAAACACCGAGTAAGAACAATACGACAATAGCACAGGTAGTAACAGAAGAGGAAAGAGGAAACAAAAAGACAAAGAGAGCCAAGCCAGAACCCTCTTGAGCAATGAGACCGGGACCTGGGTGGCGCACTTCTATATGAGATGCACCGATGGGAAATGTGATTCATGTTCCTCTCTGGTGACAAACCATCGCGAACGGCTGACACTTACACGAGCAAGAAATAGCCGGCCTCATTCGGCACTCAACTGCCGGTTCCTAAACCATCCATCGGCCATATGCTCACGGCACGGCATGTCTCAGAAGATTCGACAAGTCTGGTTGACTAGGACATCGGTGGCCGGGAGATTGTATTTTCATGGTCGACTGGCCGCGCAAGTCATTCAGCACAATCATTCAGACATCCAGGGCCCTCTCACGTGGAATATTGCTGGTGCTGGGGTCACATTGCAACCACTACGAATGACCTAGTGAGCCGTTGTTAACATTTCTTCGTCCAACCATTACGCATGACCTGTTTTTGTTTTATTTCCGCCTCCGCAGCCCGTCTCCACCACATTACGCCACTCCCACCTCTCTTTTACCGGCCGACGCGGATAACTCCTGCCGCTACCAGCTTCTGCACCTTGGTCCTGATGTCAGGGTTCTTCATGTGTTCCGTCAGCGCCGCAGGGTCCGACTGCGCTTGCTGGAGGATAGACTGCATGATGGGGTCGTTCATGATGCTCATGATCTAGAGGGTCTTGTTAGCAAAACTGGCCGCGCACTAAAAAGGGAAACAAAAAAACAAAAAAACAAAAAACCCCCGGACGTAGCGCCGAACGGGCCGGTACTTGGTTATTACTCACCTCGGGGTCGCGGGCCAGGCGCTCCTTGGTCTGTTCCTCCGTCTCGTTCTCGCGCGTCGCGTACATGGCGTTGAAGGCCTTTTGCTGCTGCTGCTCAATCTCGCGCGCGTTGGCGCCCTTGTGGTGGTCCTGGTCGACCTTGGCGGCCTCGGTGCAGGCGTCGACGGCCTTGGAGTACTCGCGCATGCCGTGGAAGGCCTGCGCCTTGCGGATGTATGCGCGGATGAAGGTCGGGTCCTTCTTGATGGCCGTGTTGCAGTCCTCGACGGCGCTGGGGAACTCGAGCAGCTTGACAAAGGCGGCAGCACGGTTGCTGTAGCCCCTAGGGTCGTCGGGCGCGCGCTTGATCATCTCCGAGTACGCCGCGACGGCGCCGGGCCAGTCACTCTCCTTGAACTTCTTGTTGCCATCCTCGCGGGCCTTCTCGGCCTCGGCGGGGTCGATGTAGGCCAGGCGCGCCTGCTCGATCTTGTTGCGCTCGGCGGCGCGCAGCTTGGCGTTGACCTCGGGGGTGCGGTGCTCCGTCAGGGACTTCTTGTAGTTCTCGATGGCCAGCTCGAGGTTGCCCTGCTTCTCGTAGGCGGAGCCGATGCGCGCGTACGACTTGGCGATCAGCTTGAAGTCGGCGTAGATCTCGCGGCCCTCCTCGACGGCCTTGGTGCAGGCCTCGATGGCCTTGTCGTAGTCGCCCTTTTCAAAGTAGGCGGCGCCGAGGTTGTTGAGGTAGGTGATGTCCTTGTACAGCTCCCAGGCCTTGCTGTAGTGTGCGATGGCCTCGTCAAAGTTGCGCTTCTTGTAGTTCTCGGTACCCAGCGCCTTCTCCTTGTCGGCCTCCTCCTTGGCCTTCTTCTTCGCCAGGGCCTCCTCGTCGAGTTCTTCGGGTTCGGGCTCGGGCTCGGGCTCGGGGGCCTTCTTGGGAGCGGGCTTCGGCTCGGGAGGGGGGGGCGCATCACGCATCTCGGCGTCCTGGGGAATGTCGTCGGGCATGCCCATCTGCATGTCGACGCCCATCAGGACGCCGAGAACCTGCAGCATGCGGGGGTCGGTGAACAGGTCGGGTGAGCCCTTGGGGTTCTCCTTCATCTGTTGGAGTTTGGCCATGAAGGCGGGGTCTGCGAGGAAGCTGGCCGTCTTGGGGTTCGCGGCGAGCTTCTGGATGAGTTGAGGGTCGTTGAACATGTTGCCAAGGCCGCCAGTCGGGTCGCCAGCGTCTGCAGTAAGTCAGTCAGTCAGCATTTCCTAGTGATGGTTCAACTGGGGGTTGGTTGGGCGATTGAGCGTACCACCACCAGCCTCGGCCTTCATCGCCTTCTGGGTGGCAGCGAGGTCCTTCTTCAAGCCGGCATTGTTGGGGTCGACCTTGAGTCCCTCCTCGTAAGCGTCGTTGGCGGCGAGGAGGTCGCCGAGGCCGTAGTAGGCTGTGCCAAGACGTCCCCAGCCCTTGGGCCAGTCGGGCTTGATCTCGGTCGTCTTCTTGGCATCTTCCAGGGCGTGTTGCCAGTCCTTCTTGGACGCGTAGGCGGCAGAGCGGTTACTGTAGAGGATGTGGTTGTCGGGCTGGAGCTTGATCGCCTCGGAGAACTTGGCGCTGCAGGATATCAGTGTCTGGATTATGGGATTGCACGACTAAAGGGATTGGGCAGGAGAGAGAGCTTACACAGCCTCGTCAAAGTTCTTTTCGGCGATGGCCTTGTTGCCGAGAGCCTTGAGCTCGTCTGCGGAAGCCATGGCGAGTTCGGGTATGTGCGGGGTTGTGTTTGTGTGTATGTGTGCGACTTGTTGGAAACCCGGATTAGACTTTTGAATAGAATAGTAGCGCCTTTTGGGGGACGGGGTATCTGATTTCGTCGTCGCAAGATTGGGGAGAGGGAGAGGGAGTGAGACGGAGAAGAAAAAGGTCCAAGATGTTATTCTCGTCGTGGGGGTTCTCGGCGGGCAGCCAAAAGGGCGCGAATCCGCAAAAGAAAACAGCGTCCAACTGTACCTTCTAGCTGTTTCGATGGCGGGAGCGGCCCCACCTGCTGATTGGACAGATGGGACCGGGGTGGGGGTGGTCGAGGACTGGACCGTGCGGTGGAGGGGTGGGGTGTTCAAGGCTGAGCTGAGCTGGAGGTACAGTACCCACCCCACTCCTCGGTGAGAGCTCCGGGTGAGCCCGGGTCAAGCCGGTGAGTTCGGTAAGGAGACATAGCCTACCTACCTACTATGGTAGTCGAATAAAAACTTGTTCTCATCGGCATTTTCACCCCTTCTCGGCCAATGTAACGATACTAAACTCCAGGTTCCCGTCCGCGTAGTCCAAGAACTTCTTGACGCCCTTCTCCAACGCCCCCTCGCTCAGCATGTCCTCGCCCTCCTCCAACAAGCCCCGATCGACAGGCCCGTCCGACCCGCCCTCCAGCTCCCACAGATGGCCGTCTTTGCCCTTGACGAAGGCGATGAAGTGGTACCCCGGGCGCTCCTCCGCAGGCGGCGGCGCCGTGTCCCCCTTGCGCGCCGCCTTCATGTGCGCCTCCTCGAGCTCCTCGCTCTCGTACAGCACGTCCGCCCTCGCCTCCCACCGTAGCGGCTCCGCCTCCTTCAGTAGCCCGTCCAGCAGCGACCCCTCCGTCACGAAAGCCCGTGCCTCGCCGTTGCCGACGGCGTGAATCAGCGCGTATAGCCCGCACGCGTTGCCGATCGTCTGACGAAACCAGGTCACCGGCTCATCCGGGCCGGCCCCCTCGTACGTGACCCCGTCCTCCTTGGCGATCCTGGTCCCGTCGGCCGCCCGGACCTGGTAGTACATGGGCGCCGGGGCGATGAAGATGAGCGCCAGCGCGGGCCGCGGCACGAGGTCCAGGAGGGCCGGCTCGTCGAGGCTGTAGACGTCGAAGAAGCCGAGCGAGGGCGACACGCCGAGGTCGTGCACGAGCGAAGTGAAGACGTCGGGATTGTTCTCGAGCGGGATAAGCGTCTTTTTGCCCGTCGGGGAGTAATAGACGCCGTCTGCCGGCATGGCGTTCGTTCCTGCGGGTCGCAATGGAGACTGGTGTTCCCCGAGGCTCACTCGATCAAGGCCGGAATCAATAACGGATTCCAAGAGTCACACGGTTCTGGTGGTTGATTAGGTAATACCCCAATTGGATAACATACGGTAATTGTTTCCTGTACAATGGCAAGAACGAAGCGTGGAGGTGGTGGGTGCCTGAGAAGGTGCGGCGGCTGCTTGACTTACAAACGGCAGCTGCGCTGCGGGAAGGGAAGGAACCCCGCACGCTCATTCGCTCCTGCTGCCACTTTGACTATCGAGGGTGAAGAAGGGGGGAAACAACAAGGACAGCCGATTAGAAGCTACAGTAGGTGGCCAAGGCATAACATAACCACCCCACCCAAGATACTGCGCAGCCCTACATCCTGCGCACCTATTGCCACCACCATCACCACATCACCACATCACCACATCACCACCATTATTACCACTTACTTATTTCCTCGGGCTTGCCACCCACCCATATGCAACTTTCGGCCTCTCTGGATAATTTGGATGCACCAAATTCATCTAGATCATCCATATTGCTAATAGCTCCATTTCACGCCTGCTAGATGTGCTCTATAGTGGCAAAGGTGCCGTTAGGCAATAGGGCCTTTCTCCCACGCTAGCAATGCAGGGAGAGAGGAACAAAGAGAGAGAGAGATTTTAGAAATAGCTTATGGCGGTTGTCAAAACACTCCAGATCCCAAGTGCTAGTCCGTGACTGCCGTTGATGCAAGTGAGTTCTCGCTCATGTGCTGTCTCACGTCAGATTTTGGATTAAAGGCCGGCCGGCTAGCATCGTTGACTAGTCAAGCCGGAGTCGGGTTACGTAGGCCAACCTCATTGACTGAAAGCTGAACGGAAACGTTGCATATGTGTATAGAGTAGGCTCTGTTCTTAGGACAGCTCTGAGTTGTGTATGCAATCTTGCTTTCTCTACCTCCCTAAAATTAAAGACTTGTTGCCAAGGCCGTTTAGGCTGAGAAGTCCTGGATCTTGCTAGTTACCTTAACATGAGAATAGCCTAAGAGGGAATTAGAAGGTCAGCATGGAAACCATCTGTCTACTATAGTGGGGCGTTGTGTGTTAGTTGTGCCTAACAGCACCTTTACTGGTAGTCTTTGTTAAGTATTCCTTGGGCTCTTTGAATGCACACTAATAGTTGACAAGATGGTAATGCGTAGCTTTCGGATCATCTGGCTGACACCTCTGCAGTATAATTTTTGTCTTTCTACTAACCTTGTTGATGTTTCTGGCTAAGAATAAGCGTTTGGTTTTTGATGAACGCTGTCGTCCTTGTGCGGGTAGTTACGTACGGCTGCTGTAATACTGTTTGCAAAACCCTGTAGCATTTCTTTGCACGGTGGTGAGGTTGCCGCATCCAATGTTATAGGAGTTCTGCAGCCATTGGCCACTCTTGATCTAACTCTCTGAGCATCTTAGGCTCAGATCAAAGAGGAGTGAACCTTTCCTACAAGAGCAGTGTTACGACCCAACAAGTTACAGGCAATGTCAACCTCAGAAGGCCTTTGCCTAACAAGAACAGCCCCTCTAGAAAAAGGGCTAATATATAGGATTTATAAGACAGGGTATAATCTTATATCTTGCCCTGAAGAAGGTTACTCTTTACTCTTATAATTTTTTCTACCAGCTTTTCCGGTGTCTTGTATAACCCTAGGCCTTACAATATATTAATAAAATGTTGTAACAGTATTTCAATACAATTCGCACGCATGAGCCAGCAGTCCAGAAGTCTGTATAAGTGGCTACTTTCCGCCAGCTAGATCTTAGTCAATTTAGGCCTTTTACATTATATTGTTTGAGTAGTCAACCCATCTATAGTCCTTCCGACATAGAGTAAATGTCTTTGTATATAACTGCTTTATAACTATTACAAGCTATACTAGAGCTATACCTTGCACACCTATTCAACTAATGTGTCTGTATACAGCTTGCTGCTAATTGTGCAAGGATGCTGTGGTTGTCTAGCTAACATAAGCGCCTTCAACAAGTTGTAGCTTTTCAGATAGCCTTTGTGATAACGCTTGTTTTTAATTTCTCCTGCCTGATTGTCCTAATAGTGGTCTACGCCAAGGAAGGTTAGAGACCTTGGAGATTAACTGCATCTATTTAGCTAACTAGAACAAAACCTTGCCACACAAAGCCAGCTCTTCAGAAAGGTAAAAAAAGACTTCGAAGAGTAGGCCTTTCAATTAGCTATCGCTAAGCACCAAGTACAGCTTCTCTAGGCCAGAGTTAATAAATGTACCGCTAGGAAAAGGAAGACTATTACCCTAGATCTAAACACAAAGTTTACGATAATTAAAGAGATACAGTAAGCCTAGGTTAAGGCTAGCAATACTAAAAGTGGGCTATATAAATCTAGTGTATTAGAATTACCTAGTGAGGCCAAAAGTTGCATTATTGTAGCTTGAAGAGGTAGCTGATAGTTAATTAATAAAGTTGTAGTTGTTGAGATAGCATCATGATTCATGTGGTCAGAATAAGGGGGTAGTCAGTAAGTGGGTAATTTAACTTATGAAATAAACTTCTACAAAACACTTTTGTTGTAATGTTGACTATTGTGGATAAATATTGGAGTTATCAGGTTAACCCTAATGACTCATTGCCAGTGAATCCTCAGATATTTGGCCATAGATTCTCTGAGGATTCGTAGGTAATAAGTTAGTTATTTAACTAACTAACCTATAATAATTATCCTTCTTTTCTTTATATATAATAGAGAACTATAGTTACCTCTATTATTTATTAATTACTACTAATATATATAGTTAACTATATTAACTTATCCCTTAGTGTTACTAATACTAATTAGTAGTTAACTTTACTATTAACTATAAAGGTTAACTTTACTATTTAAACTATAGATTAGTAAGGACTATAAGAAAAGGTAATTATTACTAGTTAATTATTTATACGCCTAGAGTAGGCAAGAACTAAAAAACGCCTTTGCAAATACCCTTACTGTAATATTATACTAATTACCTATTATAATAGGTTAATTAATAGATCTATAACTAGTCCCCTTAACTAGTAGAAACCTTGTTAATTTATGTCTATTATATAAGCTTTATTACCTTTAGAGAAGTACTCTTAACTATAAAAAACCCTTTACTTTATATACCTATAGCTAACTAGTAATTATTTACTATATCCTATTTATTATAAGCTTTTTAGCTTACTAACTTCTTTTTCTTATATATATACTTCTTCTACTAACTAATAGCGTTAACAAGTTACTAATATAATAGCCTATTATTTTTTCTTCTTTTACTAACTAATAGTATTAATAAGTAGCTAACGTAATAGCCTATTATTTTTCTTTAAGTTATTTACTTATAAGAGTATATTTTTTCTTAACTATTTATACTACTAGCAGTAATCCCTCTAATAAATATATACACCTTTTAGTCTACTAGAAGAAACGCCTATATTTAAGAGGTTATTAGGCTAACAGAGGATAATAATAAATAATACTATACCTATAAGCAGAAGACCTAAGCTAAGATAAGTAAACAAGATAAGCTTATAAGTAAGTAAGGCTTATAGGTTGCTATACCTTTGCCTATAAGGTAATAAGAAGAAGAGATTTATAGTAAATATAATATACTACCTAATATAGTAAAGAAGATAGTAGTAATAAATAATATTATTACTATACCTTTTACTTTTATATAGTGTATTCTTTTATACTAATAAGAAAAAGATTATATTATTAGGTTACTAATTAACCTTATAGAGAAGTAATAGTCCCTTATACTTAATACTATTATTATATTTTACTTTAGTAAATCTAAGTATAATAACTACCTTAGTAGTAAATTACTTTACTATATATAAGAAGACCTTACTAACTAGCTTATTAGTAACTTTAAGGCTATTAACCTAAAGGTCTTAATAGGTCTATATAACTTCCTTATTAACTATAGAGTATAGGTTAACTATAGTAAATACTTATTAATTACTTAACGTATATTTAATACCTTTTAATAGGAGGAAGGTACCTACTAGACTAATAAAATAATTACTATTATTAGGAGATTATTATATAACTTTAGAGAACACCTTAAAGACCTTGACTTTATTAAAGATATTAAGGGCTATAAGATAATTATATATAAAGTAAAAATAATTAAAGTACACTTATTACTAGTAACTAGCTACTAAACCTCCTATAATAACTTAACCTTTACCCTACTACTGCCTTTATTAACGTTAAAACCCTATATAATAGCTAAAATTAATAGCCTATATATAATAACTACTATACTACTATAGGAGCTCTTATTAACTATAGTAATATTAATAGTAACGTTAAGGCTAATACTAAAGTAAATAAGTAACCTTATAAAGATATACTTTAATAACTAGGCTATAAAATACACTAGTGGCTAGTATAAGACTATTAACTTAAAATTACTATTGTTCTATAACCTTTATGTCTAGGTAGGTATAATATAAGACTACTATAGAGTAGTAATTTAAGTAATACTCTAAGGTAAACTACAAGAGTATTATACCTTTACCTTTTACTAATAGGCAGGTAATTTTAATACCCTAATAGTAAAGCTTAAAGAATAATTTAAAGGCTATAAGGTACACTTAGCCTATATTACTAAGCTTTATTATATATTATTTAACTTAATTACCTATAAAAACTATAGCAAGAATAAGCTTAAGATCCTTAAGTTACTTATTAAAAGGGTTACTAAACTAGTTAAAGTAACTACTTATAATAGCCTACCTAAGGATAAGGATTATTATAAGTGCCTTATTACTTATTATTATAGTATACCTAAGTGTACTATAGCTTTCTTTAACTTACTAGCTACGTTCTATAGCCTCTATATATAACTATATAATAAAGTAGTAAATACTTTACTTTATTATAAGCTACCTATATAATACCCTATAGATAAATCTACTATAGAGAATAAGTAATTTTAGGTTAACTATAAGTATAATAGTAGCTATAATAATTACACTAATCTATAGTAAATATAAGGTTCTTTATAAAGTAATTACTATAGTAAAAACTAGTGTAGTAATAAATTAACTAAGAAGTACTTTATCTATAGTAAGCCTAGTTATTAGTTAACTAAGTATACTAAAGAAAAGTAGTAATCCTTATTTAACTAGTATAAAAGTACCTACTTTATATAAGCTTTACTAGCTACCTTTAACTACTTTTTTCTTAACTATAAAGGTTATAATATAAGTTATCTTTAAGAAGAAAGTAATAGTAAAAAATAACTTACTAGTAATAATAATAACTATATAGATATAGTGTTTTTATATCTACTACTTTCTTTATATAACTATTAATTAATAGCCTAACTATATTCTCTAAGTTATATAACTAGGTAACTACCTATACGCTTACCTATAAGAACCTACTAAAGAAGCTATTACC